TTTTGTAGCGGAAGACAGTAGATCTTTTTGGCTGCCGATTTTGATGCGCTGCATATTCATCAGTTGGAAAATGACGGTTCCCATTAGGCAATGTTTTCTTGGCTCACAGAAGTTTCTCTGTAAATGGTTTTTGCAGGTCCTGGAGCGAATCAACAACCAACATGGACCAAAGGCAAAGAAACTTTGCCTGCGCCGCACCCTGACTGGCCCATGGTAGCCTGCTGAAGCTTGCACAGAATTGACCCAAGTCAAGATCGTCGGCTTAGATGTGCCCGTGTGTACATATCAGATGAAGTCAAGAGTCCCCCGTTACCCCCTGTAGACCGCCGCCGCTGCTTCAGAGCTACTGTTCTCCTTGTTCTGTGACGTGGGTAGTCTGCGCCTGACAGTTTACCGTTTAGGTTCAGTTGTGCGATCCTCATATGAACAATGAGGCGTACCATCTAATCTGTGTATTAACTCCCTCCTATCTATTGCCATGGTGAGATCATGCAAGTAACTTAAATCGTGTTTAGTTTGAAGCCAAAATCCTAAAAAGTGCTATAGTACCTGTCACATCGAATGTTTGCGGTCCATGTATGGAGCATTAAATGTAGACGAAAAAAAAACTAATTGCACAGTTTGGTGGGAAATTACGAGACGAACATTTTGAGCCTAATTAATCTATGTTGTTTGAACACTATTTGCCAAATAAAAACGAACGTGCTACGGTAGCCTCAAATTCCAACTTTCTACAACTAAACACAGCCTTAATGTTGTTTCTATGTTGTTGACATAATTTGATAATGAGATACCATCAGGTTATAGCTGCCCAGATGGTCTGTACCCCCGCAGGCCGCAGCGATAAGTGTTTAGTTGCTGACCTGCTTGTAACAATGACACAATGTCCCCTTTTTCAGCTACGTTACTCATGACTGATGGATGTAGACGAAATGTAGCTGTCGCGTACTCGCGTTCAGTAGGAGTACTTCAGAGTTCCGGTAGTACCTAATGCGCGCCGCGCGCGATTATTGCCACTAGAATGTAGACCTGTGCGCGATTATTGCCTCCAGAATGTATATGTCAGGACATCGTCAGGAATCAGGACTTCACAAGACAGACAGCAGGGCAAGCTGTACCACGACGACTAAGGCTGGCTCACCTTTACGCCATACGAGACCCCTAGCACTACAAGGCTTGAAAAGGTCACTAAGCTCCCACTAATACATGGATCTAATTAGTAATTATCCCTACCCACTAGTCAGCCCGGGTAAACTTCGTCCTCTTGTTTTTTTCATTTAAAAAAAAAACGGGGACGAATCTGAGTAATGTGGTTACTAAACAAACACGACGCACGACACACGGTTGAAACGACAGTAAATTTGAAAAAAAAATTGATACCTGAGTTGTTCCTTGTTGTTGGCTGTCACGTATCAATTATTAATTATTTATTCTTCTCTCCCAAAACAGAGTACGTGCAGATCCTAAACATTCATTTTTCTCACTTTTCTACCTTGATTTCTTTCCTTGTGGAGCTGAAATCAAAACCTTCACATTTTCCATGGCTCACCATAATTTAGGGAGCTCGCCGGTCAACTCCTTAGCATCTAGAAGGTTTCATCTTCAAGAGTAACAAACACTTTCCCAAATACTTGACAAGATCCACAAGTGCTGAAGGGGTGAGTTGCTTTCTCTTGCTCTTAATCACACAATCTCTCAACCCAACTCTTTAGATCCCACAAGAATCAAACGATCCTCACAAGAAGGGAGAGGAGAGAGATCAAATGGCCTAGAGAGAGGTGTTCATCATGGTGGACGAGCTGAATGGAGTGTGTGTGTGTGTGTGTGGGTGGGGGTGGGGGGCCCTTAGAAAAGTGACATAAAAAATTCTTACCCTGATGGGAATTTTTGATTGAGGAGAATAAATTGAATTCTAAGAGCCCTAGTTAGAAATTCTGACCAATATGGAATTCGATTCCAAGATGCATTGGAACAAATAGCATAATCTTTGAATAAACCTCCAAGTCGCAAATTGTATGTTTGCTAGTTTATACCTAGATATATAATATTAAAGAATGAAAATATCTAAGTCGCAAATGGTAAGTTTGCTAGTTTATTCCTAATATTAAAGAACTAAAATTTCTTCCTCATGTACCTCTCGCTCTCCCTAGTCTGTCCGTCACTCCCACTTTGACCCTGCAGATCTATCATGGCGCCAGTTACAATTTAGAACTACAAAATCTTCGTTGGCACCGCTAATGCTGCCCTCGTTCCCACCTTGGCCCAATGATCCAACATGGCGTTAGTTACAATTTAGAGCTGCAGCGAAAGGGCCTCTAGCCTAGTGGTCATAGCACCTTAGTAGCATCCAGCAGACCTGAGTTCGACTCCCAGTGAAAACAAATTTAAAAAGGTCTGCAATAAAAAAAAATTAAAAAATAGGTTGGGGTTTCCCCTGTTGACTTCGGTAAAAAAACATTTTAGAGCTGCAAAATCTTTATTGGCACTGCTAATGCTACTATCCAAGCTCGTGCGCGTTGCGACTTCGTGTGCTTAGGCATATGGCTCACCATATATCTTAACCTGACAATAGATATAGACAATAGTCATCTATTAAGGTGAGTTAGGGCACGTTTGGCAGCCGTTCCGCTCTCGTTTCTAGCGAGAAACGGTGAGAATCCCTGCCAAACGCGAAAAGGACCAAGTGATTCCGAAGAGAAACGTTTCACACTTCTAGGAAAGAAACAGGGAAGAGGTGGTTTCTAGTGATTCTGATTCTTTCATCCCACCTCATATTTTTCAATGAATTCTTTTTAAGCATAACAAGTTAAAATGGATTGTATTTAGATTGTTCTGTCCACAAAAAGTTTGAATTTTTTAAGTATCTTTAATTAATTAATTTTTTTATGAATAGAAATTCAGTCTAACAGCCAAACGGTTCATCCATCTGCAAAGTTTCTAGAAAGAATCTAAATCCGAAATGTTTCTCCAAAAATCCGGATCCCTGCCAAACACACTCTTAATCTCCAGCCAGTTTTCTATACGAGTTAATTCTTTATTACACCTGACACTTATTATGTGTCTTGATATTTATTGATTTAATTAAATAAGATTATGCTCAGTCTAAATAAATCCAACGAAAATATAACTAGCTTCTTACAATTGGCTGGATAAGACCAGCTCTCTTGTGTCGTGATAATCGTGATTCGTGAGAGACGAGGAGAACTTATGCCAATGTGTTCTTCAAATACAAAAATTCGAAGTGTTATGTACGTACTCCGTAGTATTTATTTAAGTGATTTGTACATCCTGCAGAGATTTGATCAGCCTATGATACTGTTGCTCCCGTAGGAGACTTCCTTTGCAATAATAAAACTGTAAGGCCCTGGTCGCTAGGAGGAATTTAGAGGAATCTAGATGAATCTGTGAGAACGTGAACAGTGAATTTCAGCCGTAAACAGTGAATTTCGGCTGGCTTTTGCACCAGCCGAACAACGCCTAAAATTGCTGCAGGCGCGCGTGTAGCGTAGTGGCAAAGCTCCAGTGGTGGGAGCTGGCCGGCCGGGGTTCTGCACCGCTTAGGTAAAGATCGTGGGATCTAGCTTGTGTGAGTGTGTGGCGTGCGTGCGTGAGGCGTGTGTCCGTGCGAAGCTAATCTGTTTGGTTTGGTGGACTAAAATGTGAGTCAGCCTGGGCTTTAGTCCTATTTAACAATTCCTCAGTGACTAATTGGTTAAATGTCATTTAGTCCCATTTAGACCCTGTTTGGTTTCTCATGACTAAAATTTAGCTATTAAAACCAATAATTAAACTTTAGTCACCCCTGTTTGATTCTAGTAACTAAAAGTAATTAAAGGCCATTAAAGCAATTCAACAAAGACCGAACTACCGGCAACGCGGATGTCCCACAATAGTACTTCTTAGCCGTGTGAGTTCTCTAGGTATAGATTGTAGGATCTAGCTTGTGCGTGCGTGAGGTGTGTGTCTGTGCGAAGCTGCTAAAATTTAGCCAGCTAAATTAGCTGCTAAACTTTAGCCATGTCTGTTTGGTTTGGTGGATTAAAAGATGCCTTTTATTATATTTTAGTCAGGGTATTTCATCTAAAGTGACTAAAATATGAGGCAGTCTGGGCTTTAGTCCTATTTAACGACTCCTTGGTGACTAATTGGCTAAATGCCCATTTAGTCCCATTTAGACCATGTTTGGTTTTTCATGACTAAAATTTAGCTATTAAAACCAATGATTAAACTTTAGTCACCCCTGTTTAGCTCTAGTGACTAAAAGTGATTAAAGGCCATTAAACAGTTCAATAAAGACCAAACTACTCTTAATGAATGCACAAATCAGAGTGGGGGGCCAGCAATAATGAGGGGCAGCCCTTATCCACTGGGCACTTTAGCCCCCTTTAGCACCTCATTGAGATATTAATATGACTAAACTACTTTAGTTTCTTTTTAGTCGGTTTATTTGATAGTTTAGTAGCTAAAATGAGTAGAGGAACCGAACAAACCCTTAGTCATAGTGTTTAGGTAAAAAATGATTAAATAGAATTAAAAATTAACCAACTAAATTTTCAGCCTGTTCGTTTGTTGGTTTCAGTTAACCTAAATCAGCCAACCAATAATATTTTTCTCTCACAATAAACCCGCACTATCCCGTTCAAACCAACCAGAAACCGACCGACGAACAGGCCGTTTAACGGCACAAACCAAAACACCCCCGCAATTCTGCCCGCCGTTCTGCCACGGCCAACAGCCAACCACCCGGATAGGACCAGGGCATCCCACCCAGCCAGATCCAGCATGGCGTGGCGTGGCCGTGCCTGCAGTCCTGCACGGTCTTGGATAGGAGGCGGTTGGAGTTGTACTCTTGCCGGGGGCTTTGATTGCCTTCTCCTTCCCGCAACTACTGCTTCCCAACAAAACCGAACGAGCCACTCATCCTCTTCTCGCATCTCCCTTCTCCAATTTTTCGGTTTCTACTCCGCGCTGCTAATCCTACTCCCAGCTCGCCTGCTGAGATGGACGGTAGCAGCCTCAAATCCGCGCAGCTCCTGGAGCTGATGCGCCAGCACCTGGCCACCGACGCCGGCAAGGAGCTCACCAAGAAGGTCGGCCTCGTCTACCAGCTCAACGTCGCCCCCAAGGTCAGGTTCCCCTCCTCCCTCCTCCCCCTCCCCCTCCCCAACATCGCCTAGATTGCGTGAAATTCAGGCCAGATCGACGGCCTTTCTGATACTGTATTCCTGTGGGGTGTCCTGCGTTGCAGAAGATCGGCGTTGATGAGGAGATCTTCGTGGTCGACCTCAAGAAGGGCGAGGTCACCAAAGGTTCCTCCTTTACTGTCCTCCAACCTCATTTTAGTTGCCCGTATCAGTGTTCTGAAAGCCTTGCTTATGATTTCCAGGACCGTACCAGGGAAAGCCGGATGCTACTTTCTCCTTCACGGATAACGATTTCCTTGGAATCGCAACCGGCAAGACGAACCCGCAGATTGCTTTCATCCGGTTTGGAGAACAAGACTAATCTTTGTTTTCTTCCTTGCACTTTAGAATTCTGTGTGTGCTAGTTTCTTTGAGGCTGATGGACTCTATTGATGCGCAGAGGGGCGATTAAAATCAAGGGGAGCATAAGCGCGGCGCAGAAGTTCACCCCTGACATCTTCCCCAAGCCCGCTAAGCTGTAGAAGGCTAGATTGTGTTATTTGGTCACGGCTGGATAATAAGGTTTGCAAGCTTCAATGACTATGTACCAGATAGAATGAGTGGAACATGAAAAGCACACGACCTTCTGATGTTATCTGTGGAATTTGGATATGGTTAAAGTTCCAATTAAATGATGCTCAATGTTCGTGTCTCGTGATTACCTTTCTTCTTCATTAGAATAAAGTGGTATGATGCTTGCTGATGCCCCTCGAGTAGTTATATTATATATTGGCTACTGGCAGTGGTTAATTGGTGATGCTCTTATTCTGAGCGGGATTATGCACCGGTTTATATGCCGTCCTGCTTTGCATCGCACTGCCAAGTTCCGTACATGGTGCATTAGTTAGGACGATCAGACTAGATGATTGATGGGCGTGCATCTAGTGTTACCATCTGAATTGAAATAACAGTGCTGTCTAAACTGAATCATCTGATTCATCCAGATCAGCTTACATGGTCTGATGATAATTGATAGTTTGCGATATATAAGTCCAGCGCAGTGATAGTATATGTGGAAGAGCATGACTCAACTTGTTATATAGTAGAGAAAAGATGTGCTTGAATTTCTGAGTTTATATATTTGAACATAAGCTTGTGTCTTTTAGATTAAGATCGAACCTTTTAGGAGGCAGTCCAATTATTTCTTAAGACCAAACTTGTTTGCAGAGTGAGTCCAATTATTTCCTGTTAAGTTTTTGGGAGCTGACGTAACTCAAGTTCTCCCAAACTAGCTCCATCTACTTTACCAGTTCAGATCCTGTTTCAAGTGGCAACCATTTGGTCATAACATACAAACAGGAACTCTTGTGCTATTGAAACAAAGAGGACAGAGGCTGTAGGATATACCACATGTATGAAAAAAATTTTGATGACAAGTTTTGCTTGGTTTGGATTGTATTAGTTGATCTTGGGAGCTGATTACGAAGTCCTGATTCTAAGAAGATATTACCTGGTGCATATAATGTCATTTTTGGTGGGAATTACTAGTTCATTTTGTTTGAGGTTCATGAAAGGGAAAACTTTTGGGCATCATTTAACTAGCAGTTATCTTATTCAGTTATTATAACCTAGTTACCGTGAATGATATGTCCTTGCGTCTCCAACGTCAGAAATGGATTGCCCCTTGAGTTGTGTGCCATGTTTGTTCTACTTCGTTATTGTCTTATTGTCCATATCCATCTGACCATTTGGATGGGCTGATGAGGCGGTGCTGGCTGGCCTTGCCATGAGGCTAAGGCACGACTGTCCTAGCCACATGTTAGATTCCCCCTGGACTTAATTCAGAGTCTCTCCTGCACTCAGAATTAAGCATACATGCAACATACAGCAGAAGGCTTCTGACCAGAGTAGTAATAACTAACTGACTTCAGATATATCAAACAATATGCATCGACACAAAACCATGAGAAATCAATTGTCTTGTGCTTTCAGTTGCTGTCTTGGCTGGGTGATCTTCAACAGTTAAGTTGTTTTGTTCTTGGTGAAGAGGACTTGTTTCTAAGCACTCTGCTTCTCACTGCTCGTTGAGCTTCTAATCTCCTGAATCTGTGATCACAAGAAAATTAGTCTCCTGAATCTCTGATAACAAGAGAATTAGTCTCCTGAATCTCTGATCACAAGAGAATTAGTGCGGTGCTTCTGGAGTCTGACTAGGGTTTGGCTTGTTCGTGTGTGGCAGTGGCACCCAGGTCACATAGGTGATCTAATACCAGTTCATGTTCCTGGAGTAGTAATATATAGTGGCTACTTGTGATAGTTCAGTAGCCCTATCCAAATTTTGATCGAAATTATATAACAATTGGCATTACTTATTATGTTATACCCCTGAGAGAAACATTATCCATCGTTTAGTAATTCAAAATCAAAATCAAAAGATCAACCCTCCACCTCAAATTTGGGACACATGTTGTCTGCCCTATATGTATCTGAAATAGGGGATGGGGAACTGTTAGGGGAGAGAAATATTAGTTTTTTTTTGTTAGAATGGCCCTTGTATGAAAATATATGGGATTAAATTTTGGAGAACTCTTGGGGATGCTCTAATTTGTTTTTATTCTTACTCGAACTCACCGTTTGGTGTAACATACAGCATTTGTTCAGACATGCAATTTCAACCCTCTTGAAGAAAGAACTCATTGACAATTGGCAAATGACAATATGCATGAAAAAATCGCGATGACGAAGTCTTTCTTGATTTGGATTGTATAAGTAGGCTTAAAAGTTATGTATAATAAGTTTATTTGGATTCTTTCTGAAATTTGGTGGGGTGATTAATTTATTGCTAGTACACTCTGTTTGAGATTTATGAAAAGGGAAGAAAATTTTCCTCATTTTACTAGTCTGGTTTGGTTCATCATCTAAGCAGTTCAAACAACAGATCTGAACATTATCATTCAGTTTTGGACTGATTTATATAATCTTAGTCTCCGGTTCAGCTGGGCTCCGGCTCCCAAGCTCCCAACTTGATGCATTTCTGAACTTTGTAGGCTAACATATAGTGTTTGATTTGTTCTTTTTAGTCTCAAGTGGATACAAAAAGGTTCACCCTTACATTCTCACTGTACCAGCTCGTGCTAGCTGGATCTTTGCCAAACCCAAACATACCAGCCCCTTGAGATGTGTGCATGTCTGCATGGTTATTCTACCTGTTCTCTATGAACCACAATTGCATTCTCTTCTGGAAGGGAACCACAATCGTTGCAAAACAATCCTTTATCTATAGCGATCTGAATGTGTCTTTTCAGATATTACAAAAGTGATTCGTTCTTAAAAAAAAACGAAAGTGATTCATGCTGCTTTCGCTATTGCTTTCTTTAATAAAGAAAAAAAATTATTCACAATCAATATATCAAGTTGATAAAACAATCATGAATCCACTTTTGGTCTCTGCACAAAAACACAGCCTAAAAAAATGAGAGCTTATGATCCTAATGATTCAATTCTAGGACTACCTATATACCTGGGAGAAAAACACCATGGCAATAACAATGCTGCTGCAACAAAGGCTTATTTGGTATATTTTCATAATATGCTTATTTGATGTCACAAATATCTTTACTTTTGTGCACCTAAAAAGACTGTGATGTCATCGTCTACCTAGTGATACTAACTCTCGATCCCTGCTCACCCGTCCACATTGGATACGAATCATCCTTCACTCAGAGTTCACACGTCCGTGTCCAACCCGGCCGGTTCCAATATAAAGACCGGATCCACGTGTCCGCGTCCGATACGAAATCCTCAAAGCTCATGTGTCCACGTGAGACCGCCTCCCCACATTCATCAGCCCCTCATGTAGTCTCATAATTTTCTTTCAAAAAAAGTCGATGATTAAAGTTAGAAATATTTAACTTTAATAACTAAAGTGAAGGCTCCAATAAATTTGAAAATAGTTTAGGGTTCTTAATACAAAATCGTTTATTAGTTTTTTATATTATTTTTTTGTAAATCCGTCGCTGTATGAAAGAAAATTATGGCAACCCACTAGTATGTATCTAGTTTTTCTATAGATTTGGTTAAATATAAAAAATAACTTAAAATAACTCTAGGAATAGATTTATTCAGAGACAAAGGAAGAGTACATTTTTTAGCATCAATATCAGGTGCTCTGCATTTCCATTATAGTAGGGGAAAACTGAATGTATAGAGTTAAGGAAACATAAGGAGAAAAGAAATCAAACAGACTAGAAGGAAAAGAAAATCAAAATATGTACAACAACCTCTTTCTTTAGTGAAGTTAAAAAAAAAAACCTTAGTGTATTGGACAGAGGTTACTGTCCCTCCAATTCCTCCGAGGCTTGCCGTTGTGCTTGTACATCATCTTTGATGGCAGCTAGGAGGTGTTGCTCATTTTGCGCCTGGTTATTGAATATCCTTCAGAAACTTTCCTTCCATAGATTTCATGCAATGTACAGAATGACTGTTGCTCGTGGATTATGTGTGTTGCCCGTGCCCCCTCCTCTTGGGTTCATCTTCATCCACCAGTCGGTGAGCTTTGTTATGATCTGATTTTGGTGTAGTCCTTGCTCTCCTGACCAGATCTCCACCTAATGCCAGATTGATTTGGCATATGAACAATTGGCCATCATGTGTACGTGTGATTCCTACCTCACGTAGCAAAGCTTGCAGATTGGGTTAGCTTGACCTCCTCATTTGATAATTCGGTCCGCCGTTGGTAATTTCCTTTGGAGCAAGAGCCAGATGAAGAAGCGGCATTTGGGTTTGGCCTTGAACTTCCAGATGCTGCTCCAGTCAAGTTCTGAAAACGCTTCGGTGGACTGAATGTTGTATGCCGATTTGGCAGAATATTGGCCCGATGTCTCTAGTCCCCAAGTGACCTCGTCTTCCTGTGATTGTAGTTCAATCCCCTGAAATTGACTCCATAGATCAACAAACTGGCCTGGTGCCGTTCTTGGTCTATGTTCATTCGCTGTATACCATGTTAGATGATCTCCAACCTGGCCAATTTGGTCCTTGGATCCGCGCCCTGATCGGGGGCGTCAAACCGTTTCATGGTTGATGGCCCCCCGTTGCACAGCGTCATAAAAAGGGAGGTGGGGGCTGAGGCACAAGGCACGAGGTTCACCTGAGCCGTCAGACGCTCCACCTACAGTCTCAAAACCCTAACCGATCTAAGAGGGGTGCTGCCAACGACGGGAAGACCGCCACCGGCCACCGTCGCCACCGCGACAGCGCCTTCACCGTCGGGCTTCACCACGCCACCGACGAGCAACCCCATGACCAGCTTGTCTTCTACGAAGGCGGCCGATGGTTTGCACCTCCGCAACCTCTCTCTCTCCCTCTTTATCTCTGTTTCTCGTTTTAGTACATGTTCTAGGGTTTATATTTCATCAAATGTCAGTAGGTATGGTAGATCTATGGCTAGTGATCCTGTAATAATCTATCAATGGTATCAATCGCCTAACTAGACGTAGATCTAGCTTATCGGAGTAGAAAACAGAGTAGCAGCAATTAGAAGAAG